AGCGAAAGGAAAAGGAATAGAAACCTTGCGACTGTTTGTTTTCCAGAATACGATTCTGCTCTGCTTTTGCTGCATTGGCTTGCTGTTTACACTGTCCTTCTCTGCTCCAGCTTGTTTTGACTGGTTATTCATGCGATGGTTGCGGACGTTATTGGCCGAGTTTCCACGTGGTCGACCGAGTCGCTCGGAGCGTCGTTTGTTTCGCAATTTTTATTCTCCTAACTTTTATACCGGGCAACTATGTCCTTTGTGACGCTCGACGTATAGCTATTTCGGATGTTCGTTACCGACGAGGATAGTGGGGGCGACGGCAGTTGCCGTCTCATCTCCGTACGTCAGTGCGAAGACGACAGCGAGACGCGCCGGACGTCTGACGACGCTAGCTCGAGTCTCGACAAACGTGTTAACGTACAAAGGCCGTGCGTTAAATGCAACTGTCACGGGAACAGGATTACATCCTCACGGGAAAAATGTATTTGCTCCTGCGACGCGTTCAGCGGGAAGTGCGGTGAAATTCAGAGATCGGATATCAATAAGTCAAACGGTTTCAGAGTGCAGACCAACCAGTTATCGGGAACGAATGTTATTAGCAATACGAACAGTGATAACCCTAAGACTAATTCGTGTAACGTAACGATCGCTTATCGCGAAGATACCGCGATTAAATCGTCGATCAGTACTAAAGACGTGAAATATTCGAGCATAGTCAAGCTGCAGAATCATTCTCAAAGTCAAAGTTACAATCAGATACAAGAGAATGACGTGGGTAAGGAATTCAGTGATAACAAAGTAGAGTCAACGAGTTCTCGTAAAAAGGCGTCAGACTCGCACGTCGTCTTATCGTCTGAAAAGTCGTCTTGCGCCAAGTACGATAAAACGACCGTTAGGTCAAAAGATCATGATCCTTCGACTCCAGAAGATCTTAGCGTAACCAGCCATAGATCAACTCCGGATATCGTACAGATAAGATTTCGTGCTCGACCTGAATCACGGCCAAGCAGAGGCCAAGAATTTGCCACGAAGACTGAAAAGTTGATAGCTCGACGCGTCGTCAGCGTCTCTGACGTCGTTCAAGACTATCGTCGTCAGAGAGCTTCGTCCTTTATTGCTGACAGAAAATTACCGCGGAACCTGAAGATCTCGTCCAGGTCTTCCGAAGATATACACAAGGAACTCGGCAATAAAGAGGAAGTGCCGGAAGAAGTCGATGGAATGCGTTGCAGTGCAGTGGCTAGTGTCGACGAGGACGACGGGTGCGTCCTGTTGCGAGTTCGATCGTTGGATGAAAATAATACGACGCCATTACTCTCACGTCAGGACGAACGATGCACGAGACGCGATCGAGAGCGGGCGAGACTTTTGAGACGAAGAAAAATCAATGGAAGATCATCGTCCGTACCTCGACTCAATGTAAGTTTTGACACTATTAAATATATCCCAAAATGGCCGCGGACACGTAAGTTTATCGTATTCGTAGCCTTTTGAGATTTCTGATCGACCCGATTGACGACTCGGATGTATTACGAAAGAATATTTGCGTTGGCGTCTCATTCTATGTATATAAACACATACTCGCGCTCGCATAAGAAGCATTCCCAAACATAACAGCATCCGGAACCTACTAGTAAGCCATCGAAGAATGTTGCGTGATAAATATTCTTTTCGAATTTCCATTCTGAGAAAAGGGTATAGATAATTACAATGACTGGAATGAATTTAGTAAATTTTATATATATAGGTATGCACACATGTAGATACGCATTAGGGGCGTCGAAGAAATCATTAAAGATTATTCAACAACGTAATAACATACTATATGTTTTTTAAGTACATATATACATAAAAGCATGCGTGTTTTCTACAAACTTCCCATATCCATATACGTACAAACTATGGAATCTGCTTTCGCCGAAGGGTTATTATGTATACGGGGTTATCATGGAGATTAAGGAATTCCAGGCGCCGGTTACAACACGCATCTAAACCAAGAATCCAAATTATACGAGACTGAAGAAGAAAGTGGAAGGGGAGGAAGCCGATTTAATGATTTCGTCTCTCTCGGGCCAATACTTTCGATCGCCACTCTCAATCTCTCTTCTTTCTCGCGTAAATTAACGTTTAAGCCAATCCTTCAAATTCTAGTCTGCCAGCTAATACATTCCCACGAGAATCTCTTTTTCGTAGCTACGCGCCATATATGCGTATACGGTTTACTACAGACGTCGGCTTGTCCCACCTATTAAATTCCAGCATAGAAAAAAACAAACACTAGGATCAGCCTCTTTGTAGGAACAATTTTCGAATTCCCCGTTCGGCTATCGTTAATATTTGTTTTAACTGACGCACGTGCCAGTTGGCGTATCGTAATCTAAACCTAAAGCAATGCATTCCGATGCATCTTCCTATACATAAATTCAACTTGGCTAAAGATTATATGCCTACTGCATGGCATTACGATGCAAGTATATGTAATTTTGAATGGCTGCGCCGCCACTGGTTAATTTAACCCACATCGCGTAATCGCATTGTCTCGCAATCAGTGCGGCATTATAGGTTAGGTCTAGGAAATATTATTTTCCTTCCGTATCTTCTAGTCGCGTGAACTTTTCTTCTTCTTCTTCTTCTGACAAAGCGAAAGGAATGCGTATCATAGCGATCAACGATGCCAGCCAATCGGCAAAGAGAAGGGATTTGGCCTCGGTATGATGATACCTCATGGGAATATATATATATACTGCATACGTGATGCATCTAATCGTAATCGAAGAGACGTGTCCTCATGCAGAGCGTAAACGATCATCGAGCCAGTCGATGCGAAATCTGATCGTTGAATTTTTCTAAACAATCCCAAGATGGGATTCGTCGAGTGGATCGTGTCGGCAAGGAATTCGCTTCGTGAGATAACATTTGTAAAAGCATCGCGTTACTGAAGTCCTTAGGCATACAATGTGTATACCTATTGGTCGGATCTGCAGTGTGTACCGAGCGACGACGTCAGTAATAGGCGAAATTTATGTAAATTGATTTTTAAAAAATCATTTCCAAACTCCGTGGAATTTTTTATGGAATTCAAAATGGATGAAAAAAAATATCTCGAGGACCGGTTTACCCCCCCTACTTTTTCCAAATTAATTTCCTGCCTTTTTCTTTTACTCTGAGACATGTGCATTTTTGTGTGTGTGTATATATACATATATATATATATATAATGTATCGTACAAAATTTTCAGACGGTATTGTCATCATTATAAATAATCATGATCACGAGATTCTCCTGACTGAATGCATTTGAAAGAATTCGTTGGACCTGTGGGTGCAATTTTTGTAAAATAAGAAAATTCAATTTAACTTTTTTTTTTTTTAATTTCTAATCATACTCCCAGCTGTCGAATATTTTTATGAAAAATCTGACACAATTATCTATTGGGATCGTACTTAGGCTTACCAAATGGCTTCTTCTTTCTTGTACTTACATTTCTACGGTATCTGACCTGAATACGTTTCGCTGGTACCGTCATAACGTCCTGCTAGTTAAATCGGCCGATTTACCAAGGCGACACCCACGTGTCTCTACGTGCACGCAGATTATGTATCAGCGAGGCTACGTAGAAACTGAACCGGCAATCATCGAGCAGCTAGGCTCCATTTCATGCGCTATATCTGTATATGTTATTTCTAATGCTACTATGCATTCACGTGGGTCGCCAATGGAGGATGCTGATAATCGTTTCTACCGGGTTGAATGAATTGTCGAGTAGGACGACTCAACCAGGAACATGTAAATTCGACATAACAGTATAGCACAACTGGTTGAATGATTTAACGACAGCTCAGTACCACGAGCGACTTTATACTCTGTACTCCAAATCCATAAAGTGTCTAATATAAATATAGCCCATCCAAAACTTCATTCTCCATGATGAGATCACGTGTGGGATGATGAGTATAGGATGGACAATTATTATTATTATAATATTAAAAGTACAGTGTACGCTAAAAATAAATGTCAAGTATTTCTATATATGGTTTCTTAATGACAATGAGTCATTATTTCTCTCAGTAATCTCAATTAATTTCCTTTCGGTTTAATCATTACTGACGTAAACGTTTCTTCTGTGGACTTTTGTGGTTTATGGTGGTTTTCGAGTCTGATTTGTGGAATTCTGACACTTATGAGAATTAGGGTGTGTTTATATTTATATGGTGTATATCCGATCGGCAGTAATATGCACGTGAAGTATAGAGGAGTTAACAGTCAGTAGATGCATTACGTATTAATCTGGAGCGTCCTCGAGTTGCGTCGCGACGCTTAGCGGTCCGCCTGCAGGAGCTCTTCCTGGAAGCCAGAAGGCATAACAGTCGCCAAGAAGCGTGTCTATCGGGAAATAGTTTCCGATCGTCCAGCCATAACAAGAGAAGAAATTTGATAGGGTTTCGTCTAGGCATGAAGATTAGCAATGTACCGCGGCATAGCTATAAATACACGTTCCGATTAAATCGGAGAAATTAATGCAGATCGTAAGGGGTATTCGATATAAAAAAATTTTTACAAAAAATCCTAGCATGAAAAATTTATAAGATGAACAACTTGGATCTGCTCTTGGTTTTAATTAATATTTACTCGATGCTAAGCCTATTTTAATAAATTATATTCATCCCAGGTGTTCCGGTTCCTGCGAATTGGCCGAGGCTTCTTAGCAGATTCTTTTTTTTCTCGAATTTTCCATCCCTCCCATATTTAGCGTTCGCACGCGAGATGAGACTTTTTTTTTTTTTTTTTTTTTTTTTTCAAATAAAATTTCGTTCCAATCATCCCATTAATAAATCATTTACTTCCATAGGCTTTCCAACCAGTTTTCAACGGTTTGACTTTTCCTTTAACGGAACAGTCGAACGAGCTCTCGTTAATATTCCATGGGAACATAACACGGCAATACGTTTACGTAACGACTTCGTAGAGATAAGAGAGAGAGAGAGAAAAAAGTATAATACGTACTTACGACATTACGCTATTAAAACAGCGTACAATGAATCCATCAGCGACCAATCAAGTCCAGTACGCGTTGGCATCAGTCGTGAAAATATTTTCATACGTGACCGAATCGCGTATAAATTTGAGTTTCGATCGATCAGCCTGTCTAATTCCACTGTTGATTAATTTCTTCGAAATTCCACCAATCGCACGTGCCCCGTTACGTTCTTCCATTAGATCACTTTCACCTGTGACAGGGGGTATATCAACCAACAATGAGACTCCGTCACGCGTTAACTTGAAATCTCGTATGGATTCATCCTGTCCAAACGTACTTCCTCGCTATTGATAAACCATACAATCCGCGAACGTAACCGTAAAACGTAACCGTAACCGCAATTCAGCTTACCTGCTGCGATCACTGTCTTGAGGTTTCTTACAAAACCGAAAGTAAGAGTCGTCTACTCTCACGGCGTTCGTGCCGTCGGGGGGTCTCTGCCGTTCTGCAAGGAGTCATTGGCTTCTGTTTATATATATTTTTAGCATTCTCTCCGTTGTATACGCGCCGTAGTGTCGACTTTGCGTGCTTCTCGCGAAGTGAGCTTGGCAGCTGTCACAGAAAAATATAAATACATCTAACGTGTGTATATATATATATACACGGGGATGCCCGCACGTGGTCCGGTTGCGTGCGCGGGAATTTTAAATATACAAATCGCCCGGGGCTGACTGAAGGTAACGGCAAGAGCATCTCCCTTCGAATGCATTACACTCGTAGCATACCCGTAACGTGGATAATGTATGTGAGGTTATGGCAAGTCGTAAAAGTATAATTAAGTCGCACGCGCATGGCGCCGGGACGATATTAACGTTACATGGAAGTCGAGTTATTTTGAATTTAAGCGAGGCAAATCCGTATGGTATTGTTGTACGTCAGTTTTGGTATGTTGGACATTCAGGTGGATTGATGAAGCATTGTGAAAATCTTCAAGGAGTTATTACGAATGGACTCTGGTACAGATCCGTATCGAATTTTATAAATACCTCGGAGCTCTTGATTAATGCTATGCTAATGTTTCGAGCCGAACTATCTCTGCTGTCCGTTGGGAATGCCTTGTTTCACGGTACCCGGTGAACGCAATAGCTTTGTCGCTATCGTCTAAAGAAATCTTTGGCTGGTCTCAGTGGGTACCAACTTTTTAAAACTTTTAGTGATTATAATAAAACTGTCGTCTTAGGGAATTCTGTCTGGAATTTCATTAGGCATCGTCTGAAGGTTATTTATTGGTTTTTAATATTTTTATATATGTATATGCACTATATGGATTTTTAGTATATACACTATATATATATATATATATATATATATAGTGTATATACTGACGCGTCATGGGATTAGACTGGCGGCTTAGGATGTTTAGATAATTCTGGTGCCTGGGCCGTGTTTACACGTGCGCGATTAAGGCACGCGTGAAATACTGTAGGAATGACTAGTCAAAATGGTGACTCGAACGTACAGACGATTTTTATTGGCACTCTCTGTCCTGTATCGATTGTTGACTATCTATTATCAGTGACTGGTTTGTTGTAAACGCAGCGTTATTCTTTGACACACCCTATAGTAAATTGATAGCGGGATGTTCTTTTCTTTTATGAATTTTTATCTATAACTTATGGCTGTCCTCTTGTGTCTACTTGCGTTTATGTGGGAGAATTGCGAATTCATATAATCGACGCCACTGCCGGTCTAACGTTACCGACGCGTTGCTTACGGAATTTCTAGTTTACTGGGACGGGACTTTTGCATTTCGAAAGTGAGAAATTGCTTTTTAACCTGGAAAACGTACTGGCATTCGTGACAGCGTATTGCTCGGACCGCTCTAATTGGTCGTGAGCGAGAAAACTCGGCTAATGACTGTAATCCGATGCAGTTACATATTGTTATTTATCATTGGGTATAAATGCATAAGGGTATATAATGCGATTCTACATAAATTAAACATTTTATATTATACATATTTATATTTTATTTTATATTTATATTATACATGTGTTTGCGTGTATATCATATGACTATGTGGCGTTAGAGCCATACGAGGTTCCTACGATTATCAGACAGTCAGTGAGACAGTCATTTAATTAACTTGACAGTCTTTATGATACTCGCTATTCATATTTACCACAGACTGTACATACAAGTGCATCCAGGGTGCATGGGAGTGCAGCGACGACGCCTATCAGTATTCCGTACGACAATGTCGAAGGTCTCTTTCGAGGCCGTCGTGACTGGTTTGTCAAATACCAGGAAAAATTCCCAAAGCTACGTCGAGCTTTGTCGCAAAGGAGTTAAATTCCAAAGGGATTTATGTAAAGACTGTTCGTAGCACTTTGCATCTGGAATTCCTTAGGATTACCCGGCACCCACTGCTCTCTGTCGTCTGTATACTAGGTTATGTATACGGGACATTGGGATTGCGTATACGGATTAAATTTCACAAACCTCTTCTTAAGACCTGTAGCGAATTTTTGACGTTTGTCCTTTGTGTTCTTTTTATAGTCCACTCGTCTATCCTTATTCAATCCCCGCATAGCCAAACGTCAACCATATCCGTCGCGGATCATTGTCTCGCAATGGCAGACTCGCAGAGCGCCGAGGACACGGTCGGCCGGAACAGAAGGCGATGACTGGTAGATAGTCGTTCGATCCAAGAAATTCCATTGCGTAGAGAGCACATGGGCGCGGTCTCGATACTTAAATATTCGCAATGACATAATATAACACTGAAACATTATTATCGCGAGTCACAACCAATTTGGCTTTACACCTTACGAAGTTCGTGCGTGAAACTCGGCGTGAAGGTTATGTCAGCGCGCCATCTGGTAGTCAGTGGGTAATACATCCGCTGGCGGGAAACTCATTCAAATTCAAATTTGATAATCGCTCCGCGTCTCTTTTCTTCGCATTGAACGAGTGTCTGTGGACTTCCAATATGGCGGACAGTCAAATTCTTTCGTGACTTACGTAACTGATCGACTCTTACTTCCTGCTTTTAATTTCTTTGTTTTTAATCATTTCGATTTAACTATCCGTACTGTACCAATGACTAGTATTGCAGTCGTACACGTTACAGCAATCCCGACATACCTCCATCTGAATGACAATGCTATCGACTATATTATCTAGTTAGCTCGACAGTAATATTTGAATGTTTCCGCGTCACTGGGCGTCTACAATTATGTAACCTGCTTATATTTGACACTCGTATACTTTATTGACTACCGTCAAGTCAGTCGCTACCGTATGATTATCAACTGTCAATATATATAAAAAGCACGTAATTTCAATGAGAACAGACTCGCAGGGACATTGAAAGAAATATTTTTTTTTACAATTAATATTTCTAATGAAAATTTTCAATATTTAAATAACAGACTGATATGATCATTATTTTTATATGTGCATCCACATCGATCAATAAATTCTCGTTCGTGCTCTCTTATCCTCTTACTTAAGGATCGTACGTGTTAATTAATGTATCCTTGTCACGTACACACCTATGGTAACTGGAGCGCGCGAAATCCATAGAGTCTTTGTATATCGTATGTCTCCTTGATTTTTATACTATAGTCAGTCAAGTGCTGGGTTGCTTAGTATAACAGTAGTCTGTCAGGCTAGATTTTTGCGATTACCAATAAGTGACGGCGAGAGTCGCTCGAGACCGCAGATTATAATATTGAGACTGTGCACTGTGCACGTAGATCGGCCTAGCCTGACATTCCATTTTGTTGCGTAACCTTCGAGTAGGTTGTGTGCCTACTGTTAGATTGGTATGTAATAGTAGGTTGGTTACGCGAGAGGACGATGATGCTGGAACAAATCTGGAAGCTATTGGATTGTTGGTATAACATACGCGTTGTGGATCCATTGAACGACGTGCATAAATTTCATCTGATGACAAAAAATGTGTTAATTAAAAAAGAATTTTTTATTATCAATCTTAATGGCGGTATCCGTATGGCGACTGGGACGATAAATTGTGAAAGTACAAAAGTACACTGGATCTTTCGTTTCTCTTGATTACCTGTCAATCGATTGGAAGAGCAATTAAACTCTATCGATTTGTAAAATTCTAAAGGATTTCGTTAAATGGCAATTCATTGAAAATGCAGAAAATTTTTTCAAGTAATTTTTTCACCTCTAATGTAAAGATTGTCGTGAGTCTAGGTGGGTCTAGTGTTTTTTTTTTTTAAGGATTGCATGCATGGGAAATTCGTTAATAAATTAACATACAGATGGGTACTTGTTTACGCAAAGAGACGGGCACGACCCGGTTTCCTACTGTTTCTTTTCGGAATAACCGATTGTCGGCATACGTTGCTCTTGTAACTTTTCGCAATTAGCCCACATGCGCACGTGTATACACGCATGCACATATGTATGTACCTTTAGTATTTTTGGCACGACTTGTGGCGAAACTCGATGGGCCAGTTCACCTAATGATCAGCCGGTACGTCAATTGGGTCCAGGTGCGTGGACAATTGGCCGGGCTTGTTCGAAACTCGAGCTTACAGTCCCGTCGGTTCTCCATTTTACTGCGTAGTTACGGAGCTTTGATTTACATAGCCCTAAAAAAGAAAACCGGCCTACTCTTTCATTAGCGCGTTAGTCAAAGCGTCATGTATTAAGTGCCCAAGTACTTAACTACACGGTAGTACTTAGGTGTACCCCCTTGAACCCCTAAGTGCTTCTATTTAAGCGACGGGGGTACGTCGATGATAATAATCTTGAACCGCCCTCAGTTAAGAGAGAAAGAGGGTGCCGTTGATCTTTAACCACGTACGTAAAACTGTGGGGGGAAAAAACCGTCAGTAGGCTCGTGGTCTGATCATTACATAAAAAAAGTTCAATAATTATATTTTTCTGTTTTCATGTACGAGTAGCTGGAAAGTTTTGCTGGCATGTAGACATATTGAATTTTTAGGG